GCCTTGAAGTAGTCTGTTTTTCCTTTAATATATATATATATATAAATTAATTGATTTAAAATATGTTTTTTTTCGCTACACAGTTTTAACCATGTTTCAAAAATGGAAGCTAAAAGCTTCGAATTTAATTTTGTAATTAAATTAGACATTAGTTTCATTTCATCCTTGCTTTGAGCACTATTTTGTAAAAATAAAAATATCTATAAGAACACCGGATTATATATCTTACTGTTCTTTACATATATATATAACGTACAAAGAAAAAATATATTAAATAATTGTCGGACTTAATACATTTCATAATAGATAGATATTGATTGATTTATTTGTTTGTTTTTTTATGGCTTAACACTTTGTGGAATATTTAAACACAAAAAAAATTGTATTATAAGAATAACTCACATTTTTTTTGGTGATTGCATATTTTTCCAGATAAAATTCCTACTATTTAATCCATACATTGAGGATCGAACACCTAAGGAAAACGAAGTTGCAGGCGAGAGAAGATATATACAGAATTCGACAGAAATGAAAATACGACGACAAGATATTCAGTTACAGAATGCGTTGGCTAACCAAAAATGTCGAAGCCTACCGTACTAATCAGAACGTTTTCAACCGGAACTGAGTTGGGGTGCATTCTTTACATTATTCAAACTATAGTTCTCATCTTTATCGCCATATTTATTACAACGTTTCGACCGTTGTATGCTCCGGCCTTCTTCAGGTGGTTGGAATGTCGAACTGAACCCTCAAGGACAATTGGCACTGTGGATAAAGGCGTTAGTTAGATCCAGTGACAGGACACAAAGAGTGTTAAGGCAGTGGAGAACTTGGAGAGAGGCATTAACAGGAGATAACTGATAACTTACATCCATTAAACATGGCACGTGGAATTAGAACAGTCTACCCCAGTGATCTAAATAAAGGGATCAGTTCGACATTCCAACCACCTGAAGAAGGCCGGAGCGTACAACGGCCGAAACGTTGTAATAAATATACCGACAAAGATGAGGACAATAGTCCGAATAATGTAAATAGTGTACATAACACCTCATCTCAGAAGTATAAACTGATACTGAGTGTTGTTGAACCCCATGGGCTAGTATCCTGACAGTGATTGATTGTCTTTGGTGTTTTCGTACAAGACCGAAAAACACGTTGTCTCTCTATTTCAAAATTCCATGGCGTTCCGTGATTTCTGAGAGAGAGAGAGAGAGAGAGAGAGAGATGAATGACGGGTAATGATGGATAGCTCCTCGACCTGTTGACATCCGTTCTCGCTATCTATCTTTTTCTCCAAGGAATGTACGTACGACTATGGACTCACTTCCATTAAATAAAGGGAGGGAAATGAAAACCGCAGAAAATTGCCTTGTCGTTGATTCATTCTGTGATGCAGCGTTGGGTTCCCTACTGAGGAACTACTGATAGACCAATAAAATCCAGAGACAACACGCAATGTCATTCAATAGAATAGCATCAGATTATACAAATGTTCAAAGTGGAAAGACAGAAAATGGTTATCCAATAATACCACCACAACTTCAATAGCCGCCTCGATTTGACTCCATAACCGGATCAGGTGGTTTTCATTCATCTTGGCCATCGCATCAACGAGACTAGCGTTCAACATGTCTTTCAGCAACCGGTTGGTATTCTTTCTATACGACGTCCTAAACGTCCAGAGGACTCAAATCAAAACAGTTCATAGGCCGCATCTGGAAGTGATACGATCATTAAAAAGGCTCAGCCAGACATTTCTGACTTGTGTGAGAGAGAGCAAAACTCCTTCGGAATCACGTACTGTCACTTTTTGTCAGATCAGCAGCCTCCAGATAAATGCTGCGGACACGTCTGAAACATTTAGTAAGTGTAAATATATATATATGTAATTTTTTCTTTCTCCTGTCTTCCAGTGATTTTGCACATATTTATATGTTTTGTCCTCGATTGCGCTCTGAAGAGCGAGGAGCGATAAACAGTTATCCCATTTCTACTGATTCTTTTTTGTTGTTATATTTTTGGATTCACTACTTTACGCTACGTAATAATATGTTGTTTTTTTTTCTTATTCCTGCTGAGGTCCAGCTTTGTTTTAGTATGTGGTTATCCGACTTGGTTCTACGATAAAGCGCTCGCTAGGGGGCGCTCTTTAAGCATGTAAATAGGCAATTATATTCTAACTCACTCTCTTTTAGCCCTTTTTAGCCCTGGCTTTCAGATGTAGTTGCACGGGGGTAAAGAGACCCCCGCTGGAGCACTTTCATTTTTATGGTTGTCACTCTCTTGACTTTTATACTCTCTCACACACGCATATACACACACGTGTCTATCCCACACGCTTGTTACACACACAAAAACAAGCACATCCTTATTATAACTTGTTTTAATGTTTTTTCCCCCATTCGTTACAATTGTCTACACATGTAATTCCTTTTTGTTAATAAATGCAAGTTGTTTGATTTATATTGTTTTGCCTTGCTCATTTTTTTACTTG